GAAGGGAACTACCTAGAATGACTCCCAGCCCTTACTGGGGTCACTGCATCGCTGTCCTGCCATCCGCACACGGGCCCAGGAGGAAGGGTGGGTTCGGGCGGACGGGGGGCGTGTGGGTGTGGGAGCCGGGCCGTGGGGGAGGGCGCACGATGGGGACAGGAGGTGAGCGTCTGGAGCCGCCCAGCCGCGGGGTGGGGGGAGGTCCTGGGGGCTGACCGCAGAGCAGCGGCGAGCAGGGAAGGCTCCAGACGGGCAGAACAGGCTGGGGGCTCTCGGAGACGCGCAGGGAAGGCCCTGCTGGGTCAGAAAGTGAATGGGGGAAACAGGGAATAAAGTCCCATTTGTATACGCTTCTCACACAGGTAGAATTAAACCGTGTCGCTTAGGTGTGAATCCACAGATTTTTAATGGCCAAGCACCAAGTCAGGATAGCGATTTCTTCCCGCAGGGTCGGGGGTGAGGGGAGCTTGTGAGCAGGGGGGTCACCCGGAGGCTGCAGTTCCTGCAGCGTCCTTGCTCCGGGCCTGGTCGCGGTCACAGCTTCTTGCTCCCCAGGTGCAGGCTTCACCCTGAAAACAGGCCTTTTCACTCCCGGAGCCCCGCACCGTCTCCCCTCCCGGAAGAGGGGGAAGCCGCCTGGAAGGAGGGTTGTGCTTAAGGGCGGCGGCGGGCGGCGCGAGCAGATGGGCCGGCCGGGACCCAGTTCCGCCTCCCCGCGGGTGGGGCAGGGCAGGGGCTGGAGACCGTGGGTGAAGGCCTGCGAGCTGGTGCAGGAGCGCTGGACGCTGGACGCTGGACGCTCGCCTCCTGTGCGGTCTGAGCGTCCGCGAGCGCTCGCGCCGGGCTGGGCCTGGCGTGCGAGCCGGCAGCAGCCGGTGGCTCCTGTCCCGACGGCCCCCAGGCCTCTCAGCATGGCGGCCTTCCAGTCCCCAGCTCTACGCTCCTGCAGGGGCGGCGCGCCCTGGCCGAGCATCAGCCCCTGCGGCCCTGTTGTTGCAGGCAGCCGGCGCCCATCCGGGGGTTCTGGATCGTGCCCGACATCCTGGGGCCCACGATGGTCTGCGTCACCAGCACCTACGAGTGCCTCATAAGGCCCTTGCTGTAAGTGCCCTCGTGCCCCACACGCTTGGCCATCCCGCTGGGAGAATCCCTCCGTCGGAGCAGAGCAGATGCAAAATCACACGTGGGAGAGGCACGGTTTATTCACGTGACAAAGCTGTCCGGTGCTCGAGACTGTGTGTGGCAGACACGGTCTCTGCCCTCACGGACGTCACCAGAGCCCATGATGAATTTGTATTTGGGGGCTGCCTTTGTCAGCTCAATGTCTTTATTGGGAAGATCCCGTCCCGACACGCGGGGACATGCAGCAGCGTTGGTAGACTAGGGGGACGGCTTCCCCAAGGTGACCTTCAGGGCAGAGAGCTGCAGTCTCGCCCTCTTACGGGAGACACGCTGTCCAGTTTGTCGTGTTCTCACAGCTCGGCGTGGACGGGGCTCCCGCGGGGCTCGCAGCCGATGAGCCCGCGGTAGACGGCGTTGGGTCGCGTCTGTGTCTTGCAGGAGCACGGTCCACCCGGCGTCTCCTCCCCTGCTCTGTACCCGAGAAGACGTGGCAGCGGCGGAGTCTCCCCTCCGCATTCTGGCCGAAAGCCCAGATTCTTTCGAAAAGCACATCAGAAGCATTTTGCAACGTAGTGTTGCAAATCCCGCCTTTTTGAAGTACGAGCTTTGGGGCGTCCAGGTTTTACCGGGCTCCCGTCCCCGTGTTCATCACTCCTGTCCGTCCTCTGTCCTCCGCAGGCTCGTCTCCCACGTCCTGCCGTGCTGGGCGTGCGGGGAACGGGGCCTGGGCTGTCAGTGGGTGACGGGGTGGGGGGTGGACAGGTGCAGGGGGAGGGGCTGCGGGGCAGACGGGGAGTCACGGCAGTCGCTCTACTCCCAGGTCGTCCGACGGAGACGCGGCCCCCGCCCCGGAGGAATGCCTGCAGTTGCTGAGCAGGGCCACGCAGGTGTTCCGGGAGCAGTACATCCTGAAGCAGGACCTGGCCAAGGAGGAGATCCAGCGCAGGTACCCCGGCCCCGCGCCCGCGTGCACCCGCCGGCGGCCCGGCCCGGCCTCTGCTGAGGCTCCGTGTTCCCCCGTGTTCCCCCAGGGTCAAGCTGTTATGTGACCAAAAGAAGAAACAGCTGGAGGACCTCAGTTACTGCCGCGAGGAGAGGTAAGTGCCCCAGCGAGCGGGGGACGCGGCCGCGTCTCGGGCTCAAACACGCGGACGCAGAAGCGCGCACTTGGCCCCGCCCTCCGGGTGCAGCCCGCGAGCCCCTTGGTTTCTGCCGTTAGGAAAAGCCTCCGGGAAATGGCGGAGCGCTTGGCCGACAAATACGAGGAGGCCAAGGAGAAACAGGAGGATCTCATGAACAGGTCAGTGGCCGCGAACGCTCCGGTCCGAGCCCTCGGGTACGGAGCGCGTTGGGGCAGGGTGGTGCTGCCCACGCCGGGAGGCGTCGGGGCGACAGCGCGGGGAGCCCCGGCCCGGCCG